CTAATTGCTAGCCTCTCTTTCCCCCCGACTCCCTTCTAGCGCCGCGTGCAACAACAATGACGCCGACACCCACCCGTCGATCAACGCTATTTTCATAAATAACGTCTTGCCTTCTCATCGACTGTGCAATTTCCCACGGCTGCTTCTTCTCCGACGCTCCTTTAATTTTTGGAGTGTGGGCGAGCGAATTAATCTCCCCACGATCGAATCGGACTGTTTGCGCGTTCCTCGGGAGAGGACAAGAACGGAGAACGGAAGTCGTCTTCCGAGCCGTGAGAAATGTGCACCGGCCGGGGGAGAAAACATCTCGCCGAGCCTGTTCACCGCGAATCCGTCGCACCGTTCTTCGTTCGCGGGTGCGTTCATCTTCGCCCCACGATCCTTCGTTCTCGGAAAGGCTCGCTATACTTGTTTTCATTTCCACTTACGCGATTAGAACCTCTCACGACGCATGCACGTATCCCGACTTGCGCCGCGTGCGAGTCTCGCACAAACGTGCCGCGCACTTTGAAATAAGACGTTTAAAAATAATTTCCTGTTGTGTGCTTCTAGTATTTGTTGAATAACGTGTTTACGGCATTATAAAATTAAAATTTATATAATTGAATGATAAGCAGAGGGAATTATTGATAAAAATAATTGATAAGTATTTCATAATGTAATAAAATGCTAAGGTCCACTTTTGTAAACGTGACGGAAATATTGATTGGCTGTTACATATGCGTGTATCTCCGCGAACGTGTGCCGACGGACAATGTGAGCAAGAAGCGGAAAGAAGCCAACGCCGCAGTCAGCATTCGGCGGAATATTAGCATATTCCGTTTACAGGACATTCGCCAGTGGATACCACCGATAAAAATCTGAAAATCCCCAAGAAATTCCAACGTGAAATTTGAATTTGCTCCGTCCCGTCGCGGCCGTGATGCAGGAATCCCGAAAAACTCGAAGGGAAAGACTTCTCTGTATTCAAAGGAAGACCACTTCGTCACCCTCCAATAAGAATAACAAAGTGAACTAGCTCGATCGAAACACTTCTTAAGAATTGACATAACTTTCTGTACTTTCTGATGCAACACGATTCTCTTTAAACAGAAAAATTAATGTTTATTAGCGATTATTATTCCGATTCATCAATAGTTTTTCGCATTTACTGTATTTTTTTTATAACTTTATTTTATCTTAACAAAAAATACAAATAGAATCCAATAAAAATTATACCAGTCACTAATAAAAATTATTGACCCTTTCATCAATTGTGAATAAGAAACATAAAGAAAATTTCGGAAAATTAAAGTCAGATTTTTACGAGCAAGTGCGTGAAAGATCAAATGTGTTTGCCAAGCGTGAATAGAACTTTCCGTGGAAAAGGTAGAGCATTTGGACATTCAAAAGCGGTTTTCCATAGTCACTTCGGTCCGGCAAACGATTTGAATAACAAAGTCACAAAAAGATGTACTGCCGTCCGTGTCCGCATGAACGAACAGTCTTCAGGCGAGTGTATTGCGAAAAATCGTTTGCATGCCAAACGAAATCGATTTCAACCATCCGGCCCTTCCAGGATATCCATCGAGTCATCGACTTCTGTCGCATTTACTTTGATTCAGAATGCGAAGCCGATTCTTCAAAAGCGTCGAAAGCAGTGACATTTCATTCGATCAATCATACTTAGCTACTTGCAGAATACAAAGAAAGCGATTTGAGTTAATATTGTGTTATTTTTATAAAAAAATTTATTTCTGCAATTAATGATTATTTCACTATACTCGTGCGCATATTATAATTTTTATAAGAATTTTTTTATGTAATTTTAAAAAGTCATTATAAAATAAAAAGATATTCAGAAAGTAAAATTCTTATTCATAAAAATTTGCTTTCATTGTTTTAAATAAATTATCATCGTTAAAAATAAATGAATAATTAGAGATGACATTATTAAACTTTTAAAGATAAACAAGACAAAATGAATGCTATTGCTACTCGTATTTCTTTCTTTAACTTTACAGATCGAAGTTAACAACTTCTTAGCTCGCAGTTAATGACGATGATAATATCGGTTCGCTGTGAAAATAAAAAGCACGCGTTTGCACATTAGAAAGTATGATGAGTAACGTGACCACTCGAAAGATCTCCGAGAAGTCCGCATTAAAAGAATCTCTGGTCCGACCATATCGGTCGAACAGGTGTGCAGATACGATGCGGGAATAAACGATTAGAGACTCGATTAGCATCGACGGATCATATTAATCGCGATTGCATTACTGTTGTTGCATACGCTCAGACGCGATTTCGTAATAAAACACGTATCGTCTTGACTTACTCGGCAGCTAATAAGAGATAATTGCGCATCGAGTACATAGTAATAAGCGCATGTACTATTTAACAGCGATTATCAAACACGTAATATAAAATTATTTTCTTTAATATTAATGTCTTCTATTTGCTATTCGAAAATAGCACAGCATTCTTATGTATACTTTCATGTATCTCTGCTAGATTAGAAAAACTATATTAATTCCTAGATTGACATGATTTATTGTAAGTCCTTTCATAACATTCCTATCGCCTTGCAAAATGAGAGGCTGAAAATTGCAGTTGTTTTTTCGCGAGAACCATTGATTACGTGTGAAATAACATAAATATTGTGCCGCGCATCTAAGTATTGAGCGCATGACGTTTCGTCGGCAGCTTCGCCGTACTTGACATGGTGATTCGCAGGGAAGCGCAAAAAAGAAGACAATGGGCACCCGGTGTGGTGGCCGCGGGGCGAGCGGTCGTGCAAGTTCCGAAAGACACGGAGGAGAAAAATGGAGCGGGTGGCGGCTGCGGCGGTAGTGGCGCTAGGCGATCGGAAGTGTGTCAAATTACAGAGGTCCGCGATATTAATGACTCCTAATGACATGCCCCCCTCCCGGCGGCAGCGACCGGTGCCTGCCGACCGTCGACAGGGGAGGGTACGACTTTCTCCCACCAGGCCGCTCCATCCGGGCTCGCTCGCAAACCATCAAGGATCCTCGTGCCGCCAGTCGCATCAAGCGACCCGATTCACGGAATCGGCATTAAAAATGCAATTACTAATTGACGGAGGCTAATAGCAATAAGACAAACAACTAAATGCTATAAAGTAAAACACAGGTCGGCGACGATGCCCCCGCACACTCCCGCACTACCTCGGCCGAATCCTATCAGATCTCGTCCTCGCCTCTCGTTTCTTCTGTTCACCGATCGTTTTCTTTCCCTCCGTCATTTAGCGTGTTCGCTCTTTTCATCGTAGATAGATATTTCTACGAGAAGCACCGTTTGCAAAAGGGGGCGCGAGACCCCTGTTTACGACCGGTTCAGCATTTCCGAGAGCCCGGTCTAACCGCGGATTTTTTTGTCAGCCAGCTAGCTCTCCACTTTTGTTAGTTTCGGCTTGTTTCCTTGTTTTTTTTTTAGATTCGCGTATCTGTTCACAAATGTTGTAGTTAAGCCTGTCGTTTCGTCGACAGTTTTAAATTCTGAACTTTATTCATCTTGTAATTAGTTGATTAATTTCTTTTGATTTTATATGCATATAATACGACGATAATATTAAAAGCAAGTTTGGCTCGTCAATAAGTGTGTAAGTTCGTATAAGTATATTTGCAAGATTACAGTATAGTTCAAACGAGTTTCTTAGTTTTGCAGATGCAGCTATTTGGTGGCATTCGTTACATTCTGTCATCTTCCTCATTATCGCGCTTTCTACGAAAAACGATACACGCTATGTCAGATCTCGTGACGCGTGACACCCTCCAGAGACAGTTTGCCTCGTCGTTCTCGAAACGCACGTTCATGGAACTAACGATTCCCCTCATTAGGTTTATTATACAAAAGTTTATTTTGCCAAACACGCAAAAATTTTAACGACTGATGATATTTTACACGATAACTATGCTGCACTTGTTAATTAAAATTTTATGATTATTTGCGCACGTGAAATGCTCACTTTGTAGAATATAACATATGTGACCAGATTTGAATAAATTTTTAAAGCTATTTAAAATGTCAATAAATTAATTATTACTAATTCCTTCAATTTAGAATATCATATAAATTCGATAAAATTAATAGTAAATTTCACAAGTCGTAATGTGTAACTGTTCGACTTCACACAAATTACAGGATATATTGTGTTCGATTGGTCCCTTCGAATTTATGGCCAGGCAGTTTCTAACCGAAACTTTCCCACGATACAATACAACGCTAGAAATCTTTGAGACTGCTTTTTTATGTTTATTAAGTATCGCGTGAGGTAAGTTGTCATTTGCAATTTTAGTGTTTTAACTTTGTCCAGATCGTTCCGCTTCTTAAAACCTTACGAGATCTAAAAAGGAACGAAAGTTTTCGAGAAAAGAACCAATTTTTTTTTAATTTGCCGACTCTGTCATGGCACAAAAAGTTTCTTTGTCATTTTTTTTATGATTCTAAAAATAGAAACATAAAATTTACCTTATACGCAAGGGTACACTTTTAACAAATAATGCTCCATAATTAAAAGACCATCGGTTGCGGCCCAAAAGTGTTTTTTAAAACGACCGCCATTTGGAGCAGGCTAGACGGGACTTGCAGAACGTAATTGATTTTATGACATATTTTATGCAAAAAAATTAACAATGTCGGAATTTGAGGGATTATTTGTTGATGCGGAAACTCAAAATAATTCAATGATATGCTATTCATTAGAATCTCTCATTTTTATGCACTAATTGTTGCGATTTAATAATGTTTCTACAACTTTAAAAAGTCTAAAAGCGTATATAGAAAATTACATAAAACAATTTGAATAACAATCTCATAAAATCAAGACCCGATAATAATTAATAACGCAACTGGTAGCACATGCTGATCATGATAAATATATCAGATGAAAAAACAACTATGCGGATTCACCTCTCGGATCATTGTGAGTTTCGCTCGAATCTTTCGTGCTAATCGTATCAGGAACGACGTATAAGTGATGAAACGCTGTGCAAACTCACCTTGTATGGATTCCGGCGAGGCTGGCTCCTCCTTATCGATTCGACAGAGCGCGTCGTGACCTGCAACAAAAAGCGCAGACTCTCGTTAGTGACACCGTGCTTTAAAGCCGACCGGAAAAATTATTCGTTTGCCGTAAAAGATGTGCGCGATACCAAATACTTCTTACGTTTCGATTGAATCGACAAGCGGTTTTATCTTAATTATTTCGACGATACCGAAGACATTGATTTATACATTTCGTGAGTTTCTCGTTTTTATTGACTTTATTATAAAGAATTCAGTAAGAATATGATGATGAGGCGCAAGGAACAATCATCAAAAGAACTCAAAGTAGTTATTGAACATAATTAGATACACAAGCAAAATAATAAAATTTCTTACTAAATTAATTATCATTTTAATATTGAACTTTGGATTGACTCATTGCCAAAATTATGTCAAATGTAACATTGGATTTTTAGTTAACTTTTTTTAACTAGTTAACTATTTTTAGCTAAACATCATTTCTCAATATTCTTTAACTTTAATGATCTTGGTCTGACTAACTGGTCTGGCGATCGTGTTACAAATACCACGCAGTTCTACTCGGCGGAAACCCACATCTGCCTTGATTAAAACCGGGGGATCAACCGAGTTCGATGGTCGAGATAGCATCGGAGCAACGTCGCTCGCTCTGCGCATTTATCAATCAAGCTGCGGGTTGAATTATGCTAAAATGCAGGCGGTCATCGTGACGGGGTGCCGGGCCGATTGCAATTTCCCGAAAATAGAACGACGCGCCGTTATCCCGCCGCAAATACGACCAATCGATATTCAAATAATCTATTTGACGGACCCTTCGGCAAAGAGGGAAAGAAAGATGGTGGTAATTCGGCGTGAGGATGACCACCATACGTCACACGGCGAGAGGGACGAGCTCACGGGGGTCCAGCAGACCCCAGAGGCGGCCACCTACTACCCCCTAGGGGGTCGCAACTCACCCCTGAAACGACTGTATTCAGATAATCCCACCTTTCCTTTCCCTCGCCTCCGTCGTATTTGCCCGGAACGACGACATTTCAATACATACTCTTGCCGGATAACCCGCCGCAAATATGGGCGGATATACGTGTCCACTACGTGGAAAATAGTAACGGGAGTAACGGCCACGTAGCACGTAGATAGCTCCCAAGTAAAAAGGATGGTAAGGATTTCGGACTCTCGACTTTCATGTTCGGCGCGCCGTACATATCGCAAGATCAATGAGTTCTCTGTACGATAGATCAATAAGAAATGCTATAGTTTATTTTTTTAATTTCCAAGGCGCGCCATTAATAATCCGATGACGCGCGTCCTTGCATGTAAATTATTCTTATATATTCCGCCGGCATTTTACATCACTGCGCTTAGCTAACGATCGGCATGTAATTTAAGGTATCTGGGTCGACGTAAAGGTGAACAATGCGAGCTCCGTGATAGGACCGTTTTCATTATCGAGCGAAGGACTGCTTCTGAAAACTAGCACGCGCTTACATTAAATATGAAGAGCGGCCTCGCGCGAATGTCCAGCTGGAGCTCGCCGTACCCCGAGCTCCTTTTTCCCTCGCGCACCAACGAATGTAATAATGCCCCAGGCAATCTTCCTTGCAGTTTTGCAAAAAAAGATCTGCAAGAGTAGGCGCCATGCATAATTCATCAGTAGCGAGATACGAGCGATCGATTGTTCGATCGATACCGGAGAACATCAATGACAAGATTCTCTTACAAGCGACAATGCTCGTTTAATTCCTTCAGCCTCGTTTATGTATTCACGACCATTAACTTTCCTCTCGAACTTTGTCCGCGCATAAAAATGTATAAAAAAACACACATAAAGTATTTTTTTAAGAATATTTCCAAAATTAAGCTATTTATCTTCGCGCACCTCTCTTACACCGATACGGAAGTCCGGCAAAATTTTCATTTAACGGTAGACGTCAACGGGTGCGACGATTTTTCAAAATGAAATACCGCTTGTCGAAAGAGCGCCCGCTGTCTTTAAATAGGAATGAACGCGGATAAATACGATGCACCTTCGTCGTTTGGCGACTCTCCGGAGAACCGTAAAGAAGTTACGGTTTGCACATGCACTTTTTGTCCCGTTACACGTATCACACAAACGAGTGTAGTCCTACACCTACTTTCTCTTTTTTTCCTATTTCTATTCATCTACATCGCGGAATAAAAATTGTGCGTAGCGCTCATGTATTTTTTATAATTTTCCATTAAAAAATCTCGCGTAAAGCTCATAAAATATTGCTAATGCAACAGCGACTTATAAATTTCTGCTTCACAACATTTCTCGTACGCAACTCGCGAAAGTTGAAAACATAAAAATATGAGAAAAACGAAGTAGACGATAATTTCAATTTAATATCGTAATTATTTTGTTGCGTGATCAAATTTCTTATTAATTTTATATCTCATTTGCATACGCCTTTAAAGGATTCGTTCTGCAAGACAAATAAAATAATTTCCCTTTTTTTTTTCCTCCGATTCCCCGAACGATCGATGCCGCTCCACGCGATCAACCGCCTTGTCGGTCGAGATTTCCGCGGCCGGGCATTAATTCTGTAGTACGTCACGGCGTTGTCGGCGCTCGCTTTTTCACTTATTAATTCGACACGTCCGCGTCAGGACGGAATCGCGTGTCTGCGGCTACCGCCCCGGATACACCACGCACCTCGGTATTCATAAAGGGCAGGCGGCCTTATATACCCTATCGCATAAGCGCGGAGCTTCTCGTGCGCGCACACACCCATCAGTGGACCCATTCAGCGCGACGTATATACACGTGACACCTGTGCCGATAACTCGAATACCGCGGACAGGTGCCCACTCGTCATGTATTCGACGCGCAGCCGCGAAGACGGAAGTGAATTAAACCTGCTATTATCTCGCGATTACGATCTCGTTTTACTAAAGGCCGATTATCGATCGAGCGGATTCCATCGGCTTTTTCTTCTCTTTCAGCTCGATACAGTTACACTGTGTGCACATTAGTCAAAAACGATCAGCTGAATAAGTTTATTTGTAAAATATATATTTTCAAAACTTTGAAAATATATATTTAACTGTTTACTTTTGCTCGAATAATTTCAAAAGCTTTCAAACTATTTCGAACCAATTTCTCAGAAATGGAGTGATCCGTTGATATAAGATCGCGAAGTATATCTTCGAGTAGGTCGATTAATTCATAAAACTCGATCAATCCAGCACGTTTGCCGTATACGTGCCATGGACGGAAACGAGATTTTAATATTTAAGTCCACAGCACGATACAATAAGTATAATAAGCATAGTAGCCACCGCCGGCCGGCAGTTACAAGAAACGGTTGCAATATTAATGTTGACATTTCAGTGCTTTGCGGTAGTTTAACCGCACTCCGGCCCCTCACTTTAATGGATGCGGCTTTTGTACTGAAACGTTGTGCACGACTCCGTCAATCTCGTCACGTATGGTCACGTATCGTAGTCGATTGATCATTAAAATAAAATGGAATAAAATAAAAATTTATAATAATTAAGCTGCGTATTTTAAATTCTGTATCACAATTCAATTTTCAAATCTTCTATATTATAATATCAACACATAATTCTAACGAGTCGATCACGAAGTACTTATTTCAAAGTAAATTTTTAAAATAACACGTGACAATATAGCATAACACACTTCTCTGTATCCAACAAATAATTCATAGCGCGGTCTCTCTGCGACTCGTCGTACACTCGAGTACATAATATCGCTTTAAGAAGATGCGACGAGTATATTTTCTCTGCATCTTTTACACTCGCTCTTATAAATCGATCGTGTAAATTAAGGCACTCCAGTGTACACACTCACGAAGCACGGTGACATCGTGACGCCCACAAAAAAGAACTATGAGGAATTATCTCCGTGGCGAATAGAATGCCACATTGTTCGCGACTCGACTCTTCACAGCGCGACGCGACCCTACAACGATCTGCCGCGCGATATTTGATTTTTCCATTTTTTTTCCTCGATCTGCTGGTCCCGCCCGTTCCTTTACTCCGCTATGCGCAAACCACCATGAATACGAGATGCGGCACCTGGATACATCTAGTTCTCGCGTGGCGGCGATCCGGCCCTCTCATCAATTTTTGAGAACCCGCGCTCGGACGATATGTATGCACCGCCACCCCGACGCCGATAACCGATATGGAAACCACGTTCCGGTCGACCGACCAGCACCACGGCTGCGCCCATATAAACCGGCCACCACGGAAAATCATACGCCGTCCTGCAGCGCGCGTGAATAGTGATGAGAAATCACGGCGAAGTATTTGCGGGAAGTCGATTGGGCGACCATCCGATAACCGCACGTGATCTCGGGATCTTCAATTCAGCGCTATTATTCGAAATGATGGTTTGGACAAGGAATACTCTTAGCACGAGAAGATATAGAAAAACGATTTTGGAAAATTGCGGTATTTGTAGTACTTATAACTGTGAAGAAGGAAAACGATTTCGAAAATGTTCACCGCTGGAAAAGTTCTCTCGGCTCTTCGCAATTATGTAACTATCGACTTCCATAACATTGCGGAGCGGAGGAAACCGCAAGAATAGATTTTACGCGCGTCCCGGAAAAATCTGGAGGTTCCGTGGGACTTTAAATTTCGAAAGTTTCGGAGCGGAGCGAGAGAAAAGAAACCGAATGAAGACGTTGCGGAAGCAGGGAGGAGAGAGAGAACGAACGAAAGGGAAGGAAGTCCGTGTATACGCGAGCCGAGACTTTTTCCAATTACAAACGGCGCCATTCGCGAGCTGGTCAGCAACGATTATTTTTGAAACAAGAATATTCCTCTCCGCCCCGGGACATAATGAGGAAGCGGGAGGCACGGTCGGAGAGCGCGATAATGGCGGCCGTTATGAAGAAATCAACCCACCCCGGCACACGGCCACCCCCGTCGCACCCCGCCGGCGGGCCACGCTGGTAACCCACTTGATCTTCCGTTTCCATGGCGACCGCCTTGTCCAACGAACCCCCGCCGACTCGGACCGGCGGGGGTGGTGGTGGTG